TTATTCTCGAGGTTTTCCGAATGCAGTATTGGGGATAATGCAAAATTGTGCAGAATGTCCAATAAATGATCACAGAACGTAGATGGGTCTCCCCAAAACTGTCGAAAATTCTGGGGGGCATTGTTGGGAAAGAACTCAAAATATTCCCGAAATTGGAGAAATTTTTAGTTTCATCAATGAATATAGGTGGATTTCACCAAGGTTTTATAAGATGCTAGAGAAAAAATGGAGAAATCCGCAGAAGTCTGGGAAAGCTTAGGCGTTTTGTGACATTTCCCGAGACTTTTATGACGCCTTCCATTAAATTTCCCCAAAAGAATAAAAATTTCCGTTAAAATGGGAAGATTAGGTCACTAGAGATATTTTGTGAAAGAAAGTGAATGGTACGAGATAAGTGAAAGATTCATTTTGAATATTTTGTGTGTGAAAATCCCTCTATGTATACACTTATAGTTTGCTCCATTTCATTCTATTAGTTGTAAATTTTGTTAGTCTTTCTGATTCCATTTGAATTGGTAATATTTGTAATTTATTTTTTCTACTCCTTCACAAAGTTTCCATGTTTCTACCTGAACTGCATTTATGTTGTTTTACCTGATACTTAGTCTTGACGGCGGCATATTGTTTTGTTCCTCATTTTGACTGTTGCTTGAATTGACTGGAATTGTGCATTTTCGATTGTGAATTGAAGCACTCTTCCAGAATTGGAAACACTCTGTTATAAAGTAACCAAATATTATATTTTGAACGAATCTGTGTGTGATCTATCTAGACAGTATAGAATAACATTTATTTGTTGCGATTGGTAATTTTCTCACATCCTTCATCAATTTCCTTATTTAATGTAGTTTATATTTAATTAATTAAAAAATATTGGTTGAATAGCTTGATGGTTGTATTTGTTTAGGTAACAATGTACATTTAAATTTATGATGATTTTCAGAACCGTCATTTTACCCAATCGCTTTTTGTTTTCAACCGGGCAAAGGCGTGTTATTATTCAGTCCAAACTTAGTTTGGATCTAACAATAAGAAAGCAATTTATAACAAGTATATGCCATCCATGGAGTAGGAAGAAAATGAATACTTGAGCTATTATACCCCGACATTTCGATGTTTGCAATCAACTCTCAACCGATCAACCATAACAAGTCCTCCTATTTTGGGGAAATCGCCAAAGTCCAATAACAATTGGCAGTTTTCCCCAAAGTTCGGGTAAATTTTCAAGAAAAACCTCAAAATCCGTGTTACATAGTTTTTTGAACAAACAGTTAATTAACAGTGTTCTTTTTAAGAAGAAATTACATTTAATCATAATAGTTTTCAATATGGTAATGAAGTTCAGTCGGAATTACATTACCAACCTTCAGGTCTCGTTTGTCAGATAGACACGAGATAGAGGAAAGTCGGTTTCAATAACACTGCCGCAACAACACAGTGGTACCACGGCACGTCTTATTCCTGCACAAAATACGAGACGCTTCATAACAATCCTCTTGACATACTGGACAATGAGTCTGTCAACAGGAGATTTACTAAACAACATTCAGAATAAACAGGTAGGAAAAAGAAGTATGATCAAAGAATCGTGACTAGGAATAAAGACTCTACAAGTATTCATAGTTTGACAACTTATATGATCGAAATGTGCAAACCGAGTCAGACAGAAGCGAAAATGTTCAAAGATATATTTGATAGACTATCAATATATCCAAAAGTGATCAATCTGGCGATCGGCCGTATGAGATGTGAAGCACGGTGTATCCATTCGCGACCTGGTGCATATGCGGGACCGAGTGCATTCAGCTAGGCCAATCCATTAAAACTAATGCGATCAGCATCAAATTTCGAAGATCAACAGTGCTGTTATTTTGGGGATTTACGTACCGCAACAAGTGTATGTTTTTACTTACTGTTCAGCTAAACATGTAACCAGAACGCGTACTATTAGTTAAATTTTATCTTATAAATACTATAATAACAGTACTGCCACTGCCTTCTATTCTGAGCCATGTCTGCCGAAGTTTAAAGACACAGATATATCACCTCTTAGACTTCGACTGCAAAACCATGATGGAGAAACATACAAACATAGCCCACACTATGACCCTGTCTTTGTCTCCGATCGATAAGAACGAGTCAATGGATTACATTTTAGTTCAAAGACACGACCTAAAATTCATTTGATCCCAAACTAGTTGCTACTGTTATTTTTTATCCGACTAAAAGTTATGAAGACACGTCTTTTTTATGGACTATAATAACTCTTTCTTTGCTCCATTTCGTTGTACCTGCTACAGTGCAGGAATGGTTTAATTGTTGCACTTAAAAATAGCTGCATTATATTATGCTTTATGTTTGAAAGATTATAACTGTGAGCTACACGTATAGTCGCCTTTTACAACTCTCCTGCCACAAGTATAGCAACATTCTAAGGGATTTTTTGGAAATTTGTTCATATGCAACTTGAGTCCCACAACGTTTCGAAGACAATACTGTTTACATTGGATAATCAGCACACATACTACTGAGATCGATCCTGGGAAGCACTATGAAGCAGATATTCCGTAACTAAACCTGCGTTGTTCAGACTGATCGTACCAACCAGTTGATATGGAATAAACACAAAATTAATTCTAAGAGCCAGAGTTTAAAAGCCTGGATGTGAACCTACTAGAGAAAAAAGTAATGTCAAAGAAACTGCCACAAGAGGAGGAAAACACTTATCAACATACTTTCAAAATGAAAGTTAGGAAATCGAATAATCCCAATCAAGAATTGGTGCACATCTCAATAGTGAAGTGGTGAACACGATATTGAAATCTTCGAAACTGATAAAGTAATAAATAATAAGATTGGAACGTGCCCCTACACGTTTTTGAATTCTATAAGAAGTTTTGAAGTATGTAGTAGTAATGAAAATATCGGATTTGGAGCGAAGCGGAATAACCTTACTTAGTACTGAGACAGTTAAGATCGTCGTGATATACTGTGCTTTGTTAGCGTGAAACAAGCTATTGAAAAGCAACGGAACTTCATGCGGAAGAACTTGTCGAGGCATAACAACCGAAAAATCAATCGATGCATTGTGAAATCCTCTAAATAATAAAGGAAATTTTCCAAACGCTTTGGAAAAGTTAACTCCTGTGGGTTAACTTTGAATCAGATGAGTTACATTTCAGAAGTGAACATCCCCATACCAATCAAAAATATGGTTCAAAAACCCACAGTGATTTCAGCAATAATATAAGATTAATGAGGTCTTGGAATAAAATTCATAGATGACAACCCCCTCAAAACTAGTGTTTCAAATTGATTACATTAAGTGAGGAGTTTTCACTTAACAGTAATTTATATACTTAAATATCAGCATTACGAAGTGTTGCTCCAGATGTGGGCGCTCTTTAGAGACAATGGTTACTGGACACAAAATGCACGCATATTAAAGCAAAACAATTTAATCCGGAATGCTAGCCCATGATGAATGAAGAGCAAATCCGAAAAACCCCACTAGATCTGAAGATGTGCCCAAAATTCATTATATAATTTTTTACTACCGCTGGATAACACCAATCATACAATGAAAAGAGATTATTTACTTAGAAAAAAATCTGTTCAAATAAGATCTCTCAATGGAATAATTCAATGATGTACAAAAAAATGATAGTTAAATGGGTTTCTTCATATGATGATAGAATAAGTGTGACAAAATCCGTACAGACTGAATATAACAATTGTGTAGGATATGGTTAATGAGTTACAGCTTTAGAATTATTTGGATTATTCTAACTACGAACTCAACTGCTACAACCAATGTCAAGCATTGGGCAAGGATCTGAAAAGTCAAAAAGTAAAAACGTTACAATATCAGAAAATTAAAAATGGTATACTACATATGTAACTAAGTAAAATGACTAATCATTAGATAAAACCTAAATTATCAACTCTATCGTAATGGTGGTAGAATGTATATTTCCTATCGAGATGATATTGTGATTAGGTTACCACTGTTTGTTAATAAGATTATTTAGTCACTTGGAGCAATATCACGAAATACTGGTTGTCATCACATAAGCAACTTGACGGAAAAATTAACACACGTATAAGGAATCTATACGCCCACATAAATGTTCGATCTTATCTCGACAACTACTGAAAAGAAAAGCTATATTCAAACTACATATGTACCGATTCTAGATCTGAAAGAAAGGAAACTGAGATAAACATTAACCTTTTTAGAAAGGTAGCTTACTATTCAGTCATAATTAGATTTTCAAAAAAGATCAGAGCAGAGTTGGGAACCGAAGACTACCCCACACACTTTATTTTTTGGCTTGAACCCACACACGTATTAGTGTACATATAATTTACGCAGTTGCTGTCATGTTGAATAAAGACGTAAACTACCAAGTCTTTGTTCTAAACAGTAAAACAACAGCTTTACAACGGTGTAAAAAAGTTTATCTAATTTTTTTTTTTAGTGACTAATAAATATTACAAAGTGACTTCATGTATTTAACGGGATTATATACAATTTGTTTAACATGGATATATTAGAGGTCCACATAAATTGGTACAACCTTGGCAAAACGAGCCAAGGACCGTAGTAATTCGATACCGTAATAACTAATTATGCAAAGGCATAACGCAACTAGACAAGTGCTATCTAAACAGTAAACTTCTGTTTTATGCGAAAAATCCTAGGATACCTACAAGGAGTTAGAAAAAACTTAACTGGAACTCTTTAATTATTGAAGACGACAGACAAAAATAATGTGAGGAAATATTGAATGAGTTCACGTTTCTTACAAAAAAACTAAGCGATTTAAAAATCTTAATTATAGAACAAAATAAGTCTTAAATCCACTAGTTATTGTTTACTTGAATCATCCCATTGATGTTTAACACTGCAATTGACTAGTCACTTATTGGCATATGTGCATATTGCCTTAATTCACAAGCATTACAAGCAAAAATGGATAGTGGTCAGTAATAGAATCCAGGACGCGCGTTTCGTCCTATTTAGGACTCGCCAGCTGCATGTACCTGCATCTTACTATGGTACTTGAACCCAGTACCAGTTGACGAGTCCTGACATGAACGAAGGGCGCAACCGGGATTCCACTGCCAACCACTATCCATCTTTGCTCATAATGCTTGTGAATTAAGTTTATATCGAGGCAGTACGCACATATCCCAATAAGAGACTAATCAATTGCAGGCGATGGAGTTTGAAGCGAATGCTACTGGGTTCGGGCCCCAGGATGAACATCAAATCTGAGATGCAGGCACATCCAGCTGACGAGTCCTAAATAGGACGAAACGCGCGTCCTGACAGCCATTATCCATTTTTTCTCAAAATAAGTCTCAGACTAATATTCACGCTTTTAGTGTGGGAAGTGTTTTTTGGAATTTCTTAAAACTATTTGTTCTAATTATGGATTTACAAACGAAAAGAATTACATCAGTGAAGCAAAGGACGAAAACAAAACTGCTACTTTTATTATATAATCAGTTAGACAAACACGCATGTGTCGAGTGAGGGTGAATGTTAAAAATAAGAGAAAGAAATGGCTATGATATGAAAATCAAACCTACCATCCGAACGAACATTGACATGAAGACGAAATAAAGGATAATTGATTAGTTCAGAAACAGTTGGTCTATCTTGAGCAAGGGGTCGTAAAAGACTCTATCAGACAAGTACAGTAAAATTAAAGAAAAATCTGAAATTCATGCAGAAGTTAAAACAAAGTTTGTACATCTGTTAAATGTTAAGCAACTACAAACATTAAATATATCAGGAGAAGCTTACTCCTGGTGGTCAAAACCTTGACAAAACCGAAAATTACATGTTCGAAACTTCTGTTTATCGTTTGATGATTCACTACCAAGGCTAAATGTGGTAACAGAGTTACGGTAATCTTATAAACATGGTGATGAGTGGTAATCAATGGGTAACAATCCAAGCAAAATTAGAATTACTTTCTATCAGCAATCTTCAAATTCGTTTCGAACGTCGAATAGTCCAACTTATATGTTGTCACAAGAACGGAGAATAAACTGAATTTTGCTCCTTTGTTGGCAAGTACAGATCCACTCAATGAAGATGCTTGAGAAGGATTTCACCAGAAAGTCTAGACAACCATACTTATGCTCCTTTCAGAGACGGGATCAAAAAGAAAAATTACAATGTTTTACTCATTGTAGTATTCGATTTTGCTTTCCAATGTGATATTGTATTGTGTATAACACGCTATTCTTGTATTAAATTAGCATGAACATGCAGCGTATGATTTGTTATAACTGTAAGGATTTTTCATATATGTGGTTTCATCCTAATTAATAATCGACGAGGATCGTCATGTTTTAGGGTGAATAAATCTTCACTTGTACCAGTCTTTTGGTCTTACTTTTGTGTCGTGGGAACAGCGGTGGTTCCTCGTTTTTACAAGTATAATTAAGTGATTCCGGCATAATAATCAGAGACGACCAGATATTAAAATTAATGACGCAGTCATAACAATTGGCGAAGGGGATGGGATTCTAACCCACGCGGGGAAACCCGAATTAGAAGACTTATCAGAACTTACGGTGGCGGGTGTAAGCAGATTGGAAAAGTTTGAAAATCTAAGTGCTCCGATATCCAGAAACGAAGTGATTGTCGTATGACGCTTGCAGTCTCTTTTATGCAAAATATCGTCATCTCATTTATTTGGGGAACTTTTGGTGCCATAAATAAATAAGTACACAACTACCCTAATCTCACAGAACCTAACTTGTACATTCAGGTATTAATAAAGTACTTGGAACATTTATATAACACCGATTTGAACTTGAAGAATTTGGAATCATCCTCTTCGGAAACCATTTATTTAATAAAAAGTTAAACGCTTATTTTTGAATTAGCATCATATGATCACGGTAAACAGTTAAATATAAGAAAAGTGCAGCAGCAATACTATCTTTACACAAGAAATTATGCTTGATACCTTAGTTTTGGGGAGGAATGTTGGAAGGGAATGGTACAGTGAAATATAAAATAACCAACGAACATTATAGATTTCCTAGACAACCACATTGAACGAGATATAAGGATATTGGCAGACAAAAACAGGTAGAAACTATGTAAATCGATAGTGGTCAAGAAAATTTAACGTGTAGTAATCTTAAACTTTCTGCGATAAAAATTTGTAAAACAATGTTAGTTTCATTGTTGGTCAGTGTAACAGTTTTCGCTTATCGGAAAAGCATAGGACCAATGTTAAACATTTGAAAACAAGATTTTGATTGATTTCCCAGTGACATTATTCATATCAACAAAAAACCGAGAACTTGGAAGTGCAGTCCAAGAATCAAAAGAGAGTTTAAAAACAAATACTGTAAAAAGATAAGCATCTGGTTTACAAAGGACCGAAATAAAATGTAAAACATATGAAGATTAATAGACACAATTTACAGTAAAGTCAGAAGATCTAAATACTAATTTTGGTTGTAGAACCCTGAAGAGGATCCGTAAAATCTCACAAACTTCATCAATAGTTTGACTACATTTTTTATGTTAAATGAATGAAAATATGAAAGTATCAATAAAGAAATGCCACAGCAAATGAAACCATCAGAAATTTGGATTTGTTTGTCGGCTATATTACTTTCATAAATCCTTATGTTCCACTAAATTATAGATTCTAAAACATCTTGTGCAGTGAAGCATTGAAAATGTAGCACACGAATGAAGTGATGTTTCAAGGAAAAGGGAGTGTAAAGGGTCCAGGCCAGCATAAACTGTTATACCTAAACTGATCTCGTCTGCCACGCCACTAACGAGACTCACATAACTACCCTGATGCACAAACTTTTCAAATATTTCTAAGGTATCATCGCAAACTGTACAGACATAAGCTTTTAGTTTTCCTGGAATAATTGTATTTAGCTGTATAGTACACACCATATTCAAGGACACTAATTAACAACCGACTACTTGTGATTTGGATGGTCTGTGTATCATCACACAGCAGGACAATCTCATAAGCATAATCAAAATTGAAACATTTCAACAGCTAACAGATTTACACCACTGCCACCACGTAATTTCCAGAACATTATCGACAACAAAGATAAACACTAATGGTGAGGATAGGAAATCCTGCCTAACTCCACTGTTGAACTGGTACAGCCGATTGAGGTGATTGTGTAAAACAAATCTGACTTACGTAGGTTACTATGTACTTATTATAGATGAAAAATTAAAAAACGCCTGATACACTGAGGAACTGTAATGCATGTAAAGAACAAAGCATCAGTGTTGAGGGACTCGTTAAGGAATCTACTTTTTCTACTTGTCGCCTCTCGTATGTGGATGTGTTTATTGTATCTAATATTTCAATTTATTAATACGGTCAGGTTGTTTCGAATAAAAACAAGATGAAATTATACCCTTCAAGGGCTAACACAAAGCTGTAAAAACCTAGAACACAAGTGATTCATAAATCTGAAGGAATGGATAAACTTGTTATACCTATAAAAAACAACAACAGAAAGTATCGCACGATGACGCATTACTGCCTGGAAAACAAAAAAATGCCCTGGAGATGGATCTGTAGGATCTAACCTAATGGACATAAATAACTTGCTTTATGAACACTAAAGATAAAAATAAAAGACCAGACCACAAAATTTATATTACACTTGAAGTACTCTTTTAATAATAGTATGAGTAATTATGCGTTTTACTTACTTTTACAGCTGGTCTCAAGGAACCAGGAAGTACGGAAAGATCTGGTAAGCAATCGGTCTCACGAAGTCGTTCCCAAACTGATGCTGACATAGGGCCACCCGCCTGCAATTGGAAACAGTTTGCAAATAAACTAATTGATGTGTGGGTAGTTTATGGTTGCAACTAAATGCAATTAGATAGCTCTAAATGGTAAAAAAAATCCAATCATCACAAGTCTGTTTAGGTTTGTACAGCGCCCACAATCAATATTATACACGTAAACAAAGATTAGCCAAACCGCTTCTGTTAACAAGGTTGCAAAGGACTGTACGGAGAGTATTCTCACTATAAATATTAGTTATATTTCTGCATTTAAAAATTCAGTGAACGCCCAGACCAAAGCACATGACTTTCTAAGGGTACCACCACCAAAGTTCTATAAAGCGGAAAGACGTTCTATGCAGTCTCACGATACCGGATGATGTAATATATTTGCATAGTTTCTGGAGTTCATGTATATTATTGGTTTTGAATCAGGGTTGCCCAGTTGTTTTAGATAGACCGTATTTTAGGCGAAAAATGTCTGCTTTTCGTTCCCTTACTACTGTAAAACCACACACCTTACAGGAAGACAGTGAGTAGAATGACCTAGGCAAAGACTATAAATGCATGATCGAATGATAGCATTTCGATTACACGAGGGGATAATGAGACTATTTAAACTTGGATTAATTTAATTTGGTTATTTATTCTCTGAAGAAGTGACTTACACTAAGCTACGAAACGTCAGAAAAATCCAATTTTCTACTCATTGGGATATTACAAATATATTATTTTTATTTATAAGATATTTCCGTTAGAAACATTCGGTTAGTCGTATGCAGGGTGAAATCTAACCGTATATGCGTCAGTTCAAGTTGTAAGATTATACATCTCATAAGTTGACACCACCGACCGAAAAGATCAATCTTATGGATGTATTTGCGAAATTATTTTTGCTTCAAGTGTTTCTAGCAAAGAGGACACCAAGTATCTGATATCTTGCGCTTGTACTTTTGGGGTAAAATCGACCAATTTCAGTACAATCCAAATTAATCCTCCCGAAAATTTCGCAAAATACAAATACAGTTTAAAATCTAGATTTTTATCTGTCCTAGATTCTTCCCTAAGTTCACTCAGGCTCTTTAGTTTTCCTGATTGACGAGTTGAGACTAAATCCTGACCTCGGGATAAATATGAATTACAAAGTTGGAAACTGAAAAGATATTGTCAAGGCAATATGGCTTGATTTGCAAACTGGGAGTCATTAGTTTTTGTTTTTAAAAAGTTCGGTTTGTAATCTAACGTACTAGGAATAAAATTTATAAATATAAGAAAAAGTTGGAACACAAAAGTAGTTTTACAGTATGTAAAGAAAGTTATAAAGTGCTAGATTGCCCCAAAATGCCCTGGTACGGCTGAGGGTGAGGAGAGTCAGCTCTCCCTCTCGAAATGCTCTCATATGGTCATGAGTATACAGCCACTGTCAGGAGAGTCCTACTCACTAACTGCTCACGGTAAAGATGTGGTTTACGAAATTGAGAGGACGATAAGCAAATGTCAGGCGCTTTAAGCCAGTTGGTGGACACGGGGGGTTCACTTAGGAGAGTAGGGAAACCCTGATTCCAAATCGATGGTGCACATGGACTCCAGTATCCCGAGGGAACAAATGGCGTATGAAGCAATTGTTGGTCACTGTCTACCATGGGACTGCATCTCATTACGTTGCTGCATTGCCTTGTGGATCAGACCTTTAGGTAGAAGGGTTCAGGTGTTGTTCCCTAAGAAAACCACCTGTTTCGATTTGTGTAGCCTGGCAGTATTCTAGCCCTCACACAAATCAGCTTGATTGTTATTGTGTTGCGCATATGCACTAGGTTCGCGCTCACACTAATGTTTGTGTTCAAATGAATATATAATTTGAATAAAACTAAGACAAGAATGGAGGCAAAACAATATGCATTTGTGATATTTCGTGGTTTATCTATAGCTGGTTACAACCGTATTTGTATCAAAGTGTCACGCTAGGATATGAGAAAACCTGAAGTTTGCACAACTGTTATGACGCTTGGTTTTAAATTATTTGATCATTCACCCTCTTTGTTCTTAAACCCGTCCTGCAATGATCCTACACATGTTTATTCAGTATATATATATATATATATATATATATATATATATATATATATATATATAAAACTGATAATCGTTATTTCAATTCTTTGTTATCAATGCCTGTAACCTCATATTATACCTCAGTGGCTGAACAGAAACGGCGAATTCATGTTATTTTGACTCAACTATTATCTTAGCTTTCATCAACTTCCAAGATAAGTGAAGTGGTTAATGTACTCACCTATTTCACTTCCTATAACTAACAGGGTATGGCGAGCACCAATCATGTAGCAGCATATTATATTCAGAGGAAGAGAGTCGCATCCCAAACATTATGGGGGCTAGTATTAAAGATATTATATTAGTTGAACCCAATCAAGCTGCTTAACATTAGCTCTTGTCTGACAAACCAAACATTATAAGTCCTCAAGAACTATGAGAAAAAAAGTTCACCACAGCTGACTCACTGAATGATAAAGCGTTATTCCCAGTGCATAGAGGTCCCGTCCGGTGGCAGCTCTAGCAGGTGGACTGGGATCGTTTAATCTTGGGAGATAGCGCCCGTCACCTAAATCTTCACCATCACGATCTTCTCCAGCACGTGATGCACGTCCGAAATCAGATAACTTAAAGACGATCCCCGCAGTATCTCCCGCAAGTAAAAGCTAAAAAACATGGAAACAGGTGTAAAAGTATCTTGGATCTGACATTTGTGGAAAAATATTATAAGACTTAATTACGGTAAACCGTCCGTCTTAAAGTTAGGCAAATATATAAGATAGTCTAGAAGTCCAAATTTCGACTAAAAGTTTGTTTAGTCTGTCATATAAATTTATTGTACACTTGTGACAGAATAACTTGTTTAACGAGATTCAGTTTACTATACCAATGCACGTAATCACCTTAATATCAAGAGATCTACAAATACATCAACTTGACCAAAGCTAATAAGATGTAACAATGTGTTTGTCATACAACAAAAAGTCACACACAATGCAGAGGGTAACACCTTGAGATTAATAAAATCTCACAAGTCTGAACAACCAACATAACCACAATAAATTCCAGTGATTCGTAAAAATATACTGACAGTTGGAATTGTGGGAGGAAGTGCTCTTTTGACCTAAAGATTATTCACTTACTTACTTACGCCTGTTACTCCTCGTGAAGGAGCATAGGCCGCTCACCAGCGTTCTCCATCCAACCCTGTCCTGGGCAATCCTTTCTAGCTCCGTCCAGTTGTAATTCATCGTTTTCATATCTGCTTCTATTATCCGACGCAATGTGTTCTTCGTCCTTCCTTTTTTTCGCTTCCCTTCAGGATTCCAAGTTAGAGCTTGCCTCGTGATGCAGCTTGATGATTTGCGTAATGTATGTCCTATCCATTTCCATCGTCTTTTCCTAATTTCTTCTTCAGCTGGAAGTTGGTTTGTTCTCTCCCACAGAAGGCTGTTGCTGATGGTATCCGGCCAATGGATGTTGAGTATCTTGCGAAGACAGCTATTTATAAATACTTGTACTTTCTTGATTGTGGTTGTTGTAGTTCTCCAAGTTTCAGCTCCGTACAGTAGAACTGTCCTGACACTGGTAATGAATATTCACACTTTGATATTGGTTGACAGTTGTTTTGAGTTCCATATGTTCTTCAATTGAAGGGATGCGACCCTCGCTTTGCCAATCCTTGCCTTTACGTCTGCATCTGAGCCTCCTTGTTCATCGATGATGCTTCCCAGATATGTGAAGGATTCTACATCTTCCAGAGTTTCGCCATCAAGAGTGATTGGATTGCTGTTCTCCGCTTTGAATTTGAGGACCTTAGTTTTCCCTTTGTGTATGCTGAGGCCTACTGATGCAGAGACTGCTGCTACACTGGCTGTCTTCATCTGCATCTGTTCGTGTGTACGTGATAGGAAGGCTAGGTCATCTGCGAAGTCCAAATCGTCTAATTGATTCTAAGCTGTCCATTGTATTCCGTGTTTTCCTTCAGATGTTGAGGTCTTCATAATCCAGTCGACCACCAGGAGAAAAAGGAAGGAAGAGAGTAAACAGCCTTGTCTGACTCCGGTCCTTACTTGGAATGCATCTGTCAGCTGTCCTCCATGCACTACTTTGCACTGTAGTCCGTCGTATGAGTTCCGGATTATATTGACAATCTTCTCAGGAATTCCGTAGTGTCGAAGAAGTTTCCATAACGTCCTCCTGTCTACACTGTCGAATGCCTTTTCATAATCAATGAACTTGATATACAGTGACGAGCTCCACTCAACTGATTGTTCGACGATGATCCGTAGTGTTGCAATTTGGTCTGTGCACGACCGATCCTTACGGAATCCAGCTTGTTGATCTCGAAGTTGGGCGTCTACTACATCCTTCATCCGGTTCAGCAACAATCTGTTGAAGACTTTCCCTGGTATTGACAGTAGTGTTATGCCTCTGTAGTTTTCACATTTGCTCAGATCTCCTTTCTTTGGAATCTTGACGAGGTGTCCTTCTTTCCAGTCCATCGGCACTTGTTCCTCCTCCCAAATCTTTTTGAATAGAAGATAAAGCATGCTTGTGGTTGCTTCGATGTCTGATTTCAGTGCTTCAGCTGGTATGTTGTCGGGTCCTGATGCTTTCCCGTTCTTGATTTGTCTGACGGCCATTCTAATATCTTCCGTAGTTGGTGGATTGACATCTATAGGAAGATCTATGTGTGCTGCTTCGATGTCCGGTGGATTCATTGAAGCCGGCCTATTCAGGAGTTCCTCGAAGTATTCTACCCATCTGTTACGCTGTTGTTGAATTTCGGTGATTGGCTTGCCTTCTTTGTCTTTGACCGGCTTCTCTGGTTTACTGTATTTCCCTGATAGTTTCTTCGTTGTATCGTAAAGCTGTTTCATATTTCCTTCTCTAGCAGCTTTTTCTGCCGTCGTTGCTAGTTCTTCCACGTATTTCTTCTTGTCGGCTCTAATGCTCCTCTTCACTTGTTTGTTTGCTTCTATGTATTCAGCTTGTGCTTGAACTTTCTCTGCTCGTGTTCGGCTGTTGTTTATTGCTGCCTTCTTGTTCTTCCTTTCTTTGATCTTGTCCAGTGTTTCTGTAGAGATCCATTCCTTATGATGGTATTTCTTTAGACCGAGAACCTCTTGACACGTTGAAGTTAATGCTTCCTTGATGCCTTTCCAGTTGTCATCCATAGTAGTTTCTTCTTCTTTCAGTAGATCTTGTAAGGCTTGGAACCTGTTGTTGAGAGCTATCTTGAATTCATTGAGTTTGTCAGTATCTCGAAGGAAGGCTGTATTGAACCTTTGTATTGCTGTTTGTTCACTTGTCCAGTTCCTTTTTAGCTTCAGTTTCAAATTGGCTACAACTAGGTGGTGATCTGAAGCCATATCAGCTCTTCTCCTGGTTCTCACATCTTCCATTGTTTTTCGGAACTTTGTATTGATGCAAATATGGTTTATCTGGTTCTCTGTGGTGCAGTCCGGTGAGATCCATGTAGCTTTGTGTATATATTTGTGTGGAAATATTGTGCCGCCTATGACCAATTTGTTGAATGCACATAGATTTGCAAATCTTTCTCCATTTTCGTTTATTTCTCCCAGTCCATGTCGTCCCATAATATCTTCATATCCAGTGTTGTCTATTCCGACTTTGGCATTTAGATCTCCCATTAGAATGGTGAGATCCTTTCTTGGGCATTTCTCTATCACTGACTGCAGCCGCTCGTAGAATTGATCTTTAATGTCGTCGTTGCTATCATTGGTGGGTGCATAACATTGGATAATATTCATTAAGATCCCCTCCTTCTTTGTTTTGAATGATGCTTTGATGATTCTGGATCCGTGAGATTCCCATCCTACAAGTGCATTTCGTGCTACTTTGGACAGCATAAGAGCGACTCCCTGAGTGTGTGGAGCATTGTCCTCTTCGTGACCGGAGTATAGCAGCATCTCTCCCGTAGCTAGCCTTTTCTGTCCAGTACTGCTAAGTTGTATCTCCTCATTTCCATTGATATTTGACTGGTCTTCCCGGTTTCCCACATTGTTCGAACGTTCCATGTACCTATAAAAATTTTTGCTCTGGTTGTTAGAAGAGGCATCGGCCTCGTGGCTTCCGAAAGAACTCGGCTTTCACCATGAAGCGTCATAACTCTTCTAAGTGAAGACCTTCTAACTCCCAGGGCAGAGTTAAAATGGTTTGGATTATTTTTTCTGGTAAGCGTTTTTTAGCGAGTTAGTTTTCTACGGGATGGGGACGCTAACCCCATGCCCAACCCTCCTCCTTTACCCGGGCTTGGGACCGGCAGCAACCCTATAAGAGCTACAGGCGGAGATTATTCAAGGTCATATAAATACATTCTTGATATTTTTGGTATGAACGACCGTAGGACGTAGAAGGTGAAGTATATATACTTCATTCCAATGAAAAAATAGAAAGAATTCACGGACTGACACTATGTTTCGATGTGGCCTCACTTACCTTTATTCCCATCTGTTTCTAAACTAGCACCCATTACTTATCGACGTAGACAGTGGCTAATTATACGTAACATATGTTTCAACTACATCCCTTATTAAAGATTCAGAACCTCATCAACTAATTTTGTGTCTAGTTTTAAAAAAATTCACTTGGTTATTCATGGAAATGTGATAAATGCTTCGAAGACACCCATCATCAGAAACCTTCAGCCTAACCACATCTCGTACATTCAAATGCTATTTCCCACACTCTGTTTCGTCGGCAGACGGATGTCTCATCTGGACTACAGGCAACGAAAGTTGACAGAAGAAAACCAGGCTTTTTAATCCTTGCCTAATTTTCGTCAAACACAAAAATATCAGGACTGAAGTTTTCAACATGAAGGAACTTCAATACAGATTGACTAAAATTCCAAGCTATGATCCTGAGCAGTTGTGGACAGCGAAAGCAAACACGATGGAAAAGCTGACGGTAGTGGTCAAAGTCTCAGACCTATCTTAACAGTCATCGACTACCGAGTTAGCAATCCTGAGGCTACACTCCGAGGTAGTGAAGACATGTAATAAATATGCCCATTCAATGAATAACTAGATGCACGATGACTGGAGTAATACGTAGGACGGAAAATAAGGGACGCCATGGGTTTTCAACCCATTTGGTGTGGAAACGTGAACACAAAAATATTGGTAAAAATAGGCGCCAAATACATATCCGCCACACTGTTAGCGGGACATGGACTAGATTAAAGCATGCTCAATGCATGATTGTTTTGGTGCACGCTGATTGGCTGATTCTTATCCAATCAGCACGAGTCGATAGTCTGAGATTACTCTGGAATCTTCATATGTAAAAACTATAAATATACCGACGTTTTCCCCTATTGTGCTTCTGACTTGCTATTTGGAATATAATCTTTTCCCTGTTCAACCGTGTTCTGATTTGGGGACTTGTCGAGTGAATCGGTGTCCGAGAATACTAAGCAATAGGAATCGCTGAGTTATAACACATACAATAAAAATGAGACAGACGCGTTGAAGATCCGACCTTTCACAGCCAGACTAACATCACGGAGGCGCCAATAGTGGCCCAGATTGGCATAAGCCGCTCTGGCTTTCACTATACGTGGATTCATTTCATCACTCAAGCTACCACTAGCACTTATGCAGCTACCCAGATACACGAACTTCTCGACTACTTCTAT